GAAATCAGTGAGACGCAATCCGAAACTCTTGATTTTGTACAGAAACAATTTGATGGTACGGGTCAATTAATCATTAGGCCCATAAACTCATCGATTTTTAAAATATTTTAAAAATACCCTGATAACAAATATTTTGATTGGATTCTATAAAATTATTATAGATTTTGATTCACATAAAGTTTCCTTTCACAAACAGAAATAAAAATATCCTGGAAATTTTCCAGAAAAATTGACTGAAAGTGGAAATATTCTGAAAGACTTGTTTCAAAGAACGGGATTATATCGAGAACATCCTTACCCATGAATATCCGTCACTCGGTAAAAAGGTTAGTACTACCCTTTATCTTCGCTCTATTTTCTATTTTAGTTTCCACGGAAGGTTTAAAAAAACCTATTGTAACCGATTGTATACACTTTACATTGTCAGGTTGTAACAGCAAGAATTCACCGAGCATTCATTGAGAGTGTCCTCTACAAATGACCACGAATGCTCTCTCCCTCTCTTTTCCCCTTTTCCCAAGTCCCCTTCTTCCCCTCCTCACTCTCTGCTTTCTCTGGCTATTGGCTGGTTCACTACCTGAATCTGACTCTGTGCGGCATACAACTAGGCACAGCAGGTGTAAACTAGGGCGCCACGGTGCGACACCCATTTCGAGCTCATAATCGCGCGAACAGGTGCATGCATACGCAAGTGCAACAGGGGTTGCAAAGTCCTTTCTTCTTAGTTTATATGCGCACACATACGCATACACGCAAACGCGTATGTGCTCGTGTGCGTGTCGCAAGGACAAAGGAAGCCGGCTCCGGAAGGGAGCGGTTCCCCACGAATGAATCCTTGCGTGCCCTGCTCCCTGATCTCCCTTCTTTCCGCGCTGCTGAGAGGGAAACATTGTTGGATAATCAACACTCTTCTAAGCGTCACAATTACAGAATATACAGCGAGCGGCAATTGCAATGCTCAAAAGGGTCGTGCACATGGGAATTAAAGTGACATTATTCTCAAAACATCGATCGACTAATTGAATCAAAAACTTAGAACAGCGAAGCAGGACATAGTCGAAGTGAAAAAATTCGGGATGCCATTCTGTCGGAAAAGCCAAACAAGTTGATTAATTAGAAAAAGAAGATTTTATGTCAAGCTAATATACATTATGCCTAGAATTTGTAGCAATTAATGTCGCTAAAATTAATTAACGTACAAGTTAATTTCTGATTTGATATTCTCGTAAAACAAATACTAATCGTTATTGTAAGTACGTTATTGCAAAAATATTTCTTCGATAGAAATTATTTGACGATTCCATAGTAAAAGAAGCCATTAAATTATATTTAAATATTGCTTCTATAACTTTCCGCTCTAATCATTCCATTCGGAGAATATCTCTTATTTTATTTAACTTTCTATCCTACACATTGTTTGGAAAATAAGAAAAAAATTTAAGGAAGGTAGAAATATAAATATCTAAAATTTAGAAAAAAATCTTCCACTCAAACAAACACAAAAATGAAGATTTCAAAATATAAATATAATAATTTGCAATTAGCTTCAAATTGGAACGAAAAGTAGAATATGCTAAAAGATTCCGAAGATTAGAAACTCGAAAAGATTCAGGATTAAATGCAAAATTATAAAAGATTCAAAGAAATAACGAAAAAAAGAGGTAATAAAGGAACACAGAAGACTCGAGACTTGGCAATGAAATAAGGACGGAAAAATTCGAATCCCCTATCTCGGCTATTTACACCCTTCCCTCCTTCTCCCTTCGCCATGACTATCATCATCATTATCATCATCACCACCATAATTGGCGCTTCAACCCCTCGTGTGGTACCGCGATAAGATCGTCACGCTACTCTTAATCGGGCGAGTGAGAGCCCGCAGGAAGTCGCATGTAAATTCTCATCGGAACGCACGTGGGTATGGCTCGACGGTGTTGACGCTTCGTTGCGTGCACGCACTTGTCGCGCAACCTCTCCCCACGTCCCTCTACAAGTTCTTTTCGCCCTGATCCTTTTTAAATCTAACGCACTTTTTATAAAATCCACTCGAGTTCTCGACAACAAGAGTGTGAAGTCATATCGAAAATTTCGAGAACCTGGCAATCTCTCGCGATGATTTGTAAAAATGTCAATATGTATATCAAAAATAAAGATAACTGTATTGCATAATGTTTAATTGTAAAAAAAGTTCTTGAGAACAATCTAGTTTTAACTTTTAAACACGATTGAAAAGAGCAACAGAGAAGTCCTTTATTACTTTTTAACAACATTGAGATTGTTACAATATTTCTATTTAATTATTTTATATATTTTTTGTGAATATTTCATAATTAAACTAAAATTATTATCAAAATATGTATTTCCAATACATTTAGTTTTTTGCAACTTTTTTATCTTTAACAAATAAGAAAAAACAATTTATACTTATGTTTATTACATCTCAATCTATAAATTTTGATAAATTTATATGTACTTAATTAAATGTACTTTTAATTAAATTTGTTAAAAATGTAACTTTTTAATTAAACTCATATTATTCTTAACTATTCTACATTTTGATTTAAATATTTTAAAAAATTAATTTGTATCCTCTCATAAAATAATTTTAAAACAACAATATACAAGATTATTTGAATTAAGTAACTCTTATCGTGGATTAAAATGTACGTGTGAAAATATGTGCACTGATCACGTGGCTGTGTAATCTGTTGTGACATAACGGAAGATTTATTGTAATTGTAAACTATTGCTTGACATTTTGCACTTTTAGTCGCAAAAATTCCAGATAGTCTGGATATCCATAACTTGCAGAGTTAATGAAGGAAGCGGTTTTTACATAACTATATACGGAGTGTCATTACTGGCACTCCTCTCATAGATTCAAGGCGTGGCGATAGTTTCACCGCGCATCTCGTGTGCAATAAACTCGAAATCTTGTACAAAGACCCTTAGTGCTGTATTGTGAAACGTGGAGTCAAGTTTAATTTGTGCTCGAGTGCACATTTATATCTTTGGGATAATACGAATTGATATCGAGATAACTCAAATAAAACGGTAATTCCGCGGCGAAATACTTTATTTACTATCGCGGATATTTCGGATCTAATTAAATTTACACTAACTGAATGCTACATTATACTATAAAAAATAATTATTTTTAAACTAAATATCGCACATATAATAATTGAAAAAAAGTACATCCTTGCTCCATATTTTCTTCACACATATTATGGCTGATACGTGATTTCTTTTTCATTCACTGTTGAAAAAAAATCGTGGGAGACGGCCCTGTGCACTTATACACGTACGTACGCACGCACACATGCAGAGTACTGAACTCACCTACACACCGGCAATACACCGCCGTGACTCACGAACACATTGCGCATCCACACCGACAGCGCGCTCCTCGTTGATGCGCGGGGTCGTACAGGTTGCACAATTGTCGTTATCACTACAGGGTCGCGTCGGATCAACTTAATACCGACACGATGCGGCACCAACATCCGTTCACTCTCTGCCCCTCCAACGAAAAAGAAAAAGTAGCACCGAGAAACACGTGCTCCAATGCTGAACCGTCGAAAGTGCCCGAGGCTCACCTGTTACAGTGCAACGAGAACCTTATGATCGCGAATGAGGACGAAAAAAATCACGAGCAGATTCTCGTCGGAGACACGCCACGAAAAATGGAAAAACACAGGATACGGCATGCGCGTTTACTAGAAAAGAAAACGAAGCGGCACGAAACGAAGCGTACACACGCACGTACGCGACTTCAATGAGCACGACTGACGACTACGAGGGGGAGGATGCCCGGCGGACGGACGGATGGACATGGCCGAAGACGGCCGAGCTCAGCCGACTAAACCGAAGTCAGCCTCGACACCCCGAAGCGGATCGGCGCCTATGAGTAGCGCCATAGCCAACCGTGCGACACAAGAGAAGGGCGGCGGGTGAGAGGGGTGACAAGAGGGTAGAGGGGTATGGGGGGAGGCAGAAAAAGAGGAGGGAAGGAGGATTTACGCAACCCTCTCTCGAGCGAAAATCCACATCGAGAAACACGCCGCTCGACGATGCGCCGATAAGCCACGTAGTACCCTCGGCCAGCGTTCTCCGTCTCTTTCTTTCTTAAAGGTAGCAGGTAGCGAAAGGGAGGGAGAGAGAGAGGGAGGGAAACTGAGCAGACAACACACACACACACACACGAAGGGGAGGAGGGGGAAGAGAGAGAGAGAGAGAGAGAGAGAGAGAGAGAGAATTCCTTCTATACCACAGCTTCGCTTCGTGGAAAAGAAACTACCTCGAAACTAACCTCTTCCGTTTCGCCCCACCGATTTGCCGTTGTTAACCCTTTCGATGCCACGTAGGAGCGCGCGCGCGGAGTATCATGCATACGCATACGCGCATGCGCGCACACATGTATGCGTATATACACTCGTGACACTCACAGGGCTGAGCATTGCACGAAC